GCGATTTACCATATGGCCCACATCCCGTATCGAATAAGCTCTCAACAAATGAGCGTTGATCCATTTATTTGATTATTTATGATGAAATTCAAATATAATAACTAGAAAAATATAAATGTAGTGAGAATTGAGAATTAGATAAATTGAAATTGTAACTGAATAAACTGTAAAAAATGAATCGACATTGTATATTTTGTAGCACAAGAGAGTAAAAACTCGATAATTGATCTAATAAAAGAGAGTTGGAAAATGAGAAGTAGTGATTGAGGAGATAACTGATATGAAAAAAAAGGGGAGTTAAAGGGGTATTTATTATAAAAGGAAAAAAATAAAAAATAAAATATTCCAGTGACCCAATGGTCACTGAAAAAGTGACCAAAACGGTCAATTTTTTTTTTTAAAAAGTGACTGTTTTGGTCACTAAAAGCACAAGCCGCTTGTGGGCTCGCCAACGAGGGGCGGCTCGCCTTGAGAGGGCTCGCACGTGCTCGGGCTTGTGATTTTATGAGTTCGAGCTGCTCACAAGCCCTATTTCGACCAGGCGAGCGTCGGCTCTGCCCTTTTGACATCCCTAGGTACTACTAGTAGATTGAATTGGGTATCAAATAATAATTGCTCCCTATATTCAATTGACTAGACAATACACTAAGTGAATTTGCACTGCTAATATTAAAGTTTTTAAAGAAATAAAAAATGGAAATACATAATGAAAAAGTTATTTATTTTATTAATGTATATGTATATTTTAAGCTACTTGATGCAAGATGAATTCCATTACTACCCATATTAAGTTAGCCATCAGAAGCAACACGTGGAAGCCCCATTGATGACATCGAAAGAGTCAGCCAAAACATATGAAAAAATGAAGTAACAAGGTTACGAAGGTTATAGAAGTCGAAGTCTTTATTCTGGCCAAGGTGCCACTCAACCAGATACATGCCAAAGCCCTAACAAAGGGTTTATGCTGAAGCTCTCATGTTCACAACCTGCTGAGGTTTTGAAAGACGAGGCTAAAGTCCTGAGAGATGAGGAGGCTATCACATTTGCCAACCTGCCGGGGTTCTGAAAGATGAGGTTGAAGTCCTAAGAGACGAGGAGGCTACCACATCTGTCGACCTAACAAATATCTTTGTAAAAGACTGATTAGACGTCTACTTTATCTTATGTCGGGAATATCATCTTTGAAATATAGGGCATGAACCCTTTGTCCATGTAATGAATGCATGTGTAAAAAAAGATGTGATGTATAGAAAAAGGAGGTAGAGGCACGTGGTTCGAATGTAACGATCAATGCATCTTGCCTAAACACTATATATACCCTCCCCTTTGTAAGAAGAGGAAGAGGAGAAAAGTAGATATGTGTGGAACAATAAACACAACACATATATAGAATTTGTATTTACAACTAATATACTGCAAGAATACGTCCACGCATACACTATCTTCTAACGACAATGTTGGCCATTTTCGGAGGTCAACAAATTCAATGTTGTTCAAATTGCATATTCTATTTCTAGTCCAATAACATAATTTTACCTTTCGGAATTTATTTGAATTATTATAAATAAATCATTCGAACTATGTAATCTTCTTTAGGTAATTGTTTAGGATTTTATTGAAAGGTCAAATTCCAGCAATAATCAAGGTAAACCGGGCTCAGTTTCCACAATATGTCGACACCACCGCTAGTTGAGACAACACCCAAAACCACTGCCTTTGTTCCCACCTCCGGTTGCTACAATATACTCACAAGGAGTTGGCCAAGAAGAAGAACAATAGGTTGCCCACAAGAAACCACAAAGGTTATATGAAGAGGAGAAGCCGAGAATCAAAGTCACAAAGAGAGATGGATTATTCTTCATAGTGGAGGCGAGGAGAGGTCGAGAATATAAGCCAAATGAGTGACCAAACATGGTAAGTTAGGTTAGGTTAATTTAGTGGACCAAACAAGGCTCAACTCAAAATAATGGGCTCCAAATTAATATCATAACCCTCCAAGAAAGTGGGACGAACCATGAGCAACACTATTAAAAATAGGTTGCTTCTAACGGTCCATAGGGATGTGGGTTGGGTTGTCTCGATAATAGTGTTGACATATAAATCAATCATATGACCAAGGTCGATTGATAATAGATAAAACTCAGGTTACATCATAACTCGGGGGTCATTTGACAACAAATTGCCTAACATTTATAAATTCTGCAAAGTTTGATGTCAATTGAATTTAATTTGTGTTACTCAATTTTTATCATTTTTCTGCATTTATTGCTTAATATAGCTAGCACTCATAAGTTTGGAATATATATGCATGTATTTGCATAGATGTGTGTGCATATAGTGTCACGTGTATGTATGTTGTTTATTGTTTTCTGTATGTATGTATAATAGATAATGTATATATCGATGTGTGTGTTTGTATGTCTTTCTATTTATAGATTTGTGGATACCAAATATTATATACTCGTCCGTTTTATAAAGATAGATTTGTTTTTCTTTTTATCTATCTCAAATTAAAGACCAATTTTCTTGTTAAGAGTATAATTTCTTAATTTATTACTATACTCCTGCTTAATGTTCCTTATTATCAATAAATATGAAATACTCTTATTTAAACAATTATTTAAGGTAGTGTATTTTAGGAAAAACATAAGAAAAATTTATATTTTCGAAAAAATTAATTATATATTTTTAATGTGTGTAAAAATGAAAATAAATATATCTTCGTTGGACGGGAGGATTGTGTGTGTGAAATTCTAATCTCAAAACAAAGGGAAGGGGACGTGGCGAAATTGGTGACTCCTCATAAATCCTTTTTTGACGAGAGAGAGAGGGGCATGTTTATGTTTGAATGTTTGTGCATATATATAGTGTCTGGACGCATACATGTATAATTTTCATGAAGTACGGGGTAAAATGAATTAATATTTTATTCATCTTTTAACCAATTAGTTCCAATTTGGGTTGATGATATATTCAATAGTGGATTCTACGTTTAAAATTGTTATAAACTTTAACACTTTTATTCAGAAATAAATTTTGCAGTAATAATTATTAAAAAATCAATTTAATATAACAATGTTGTGTCCTTATTTATATAGTGAATTTTGTTGAAATTTTTAAGTAAATGATAATAAATTATGAATTTGGGCACATTGACTTCGTGGGTGGCTAGGAAATACTAGGAATACCTCCACTTACCATTTGAAATGTAAATTGCTAGGATTCAAGGTGAGTAAATATCCATTTGTATTCATACATACATTACTTTGCTAAATATATGAATTTTTATCTAAATTTATGAGAACTTAATATTCAAACATTGCAATTTAGAAATGTTTCTAATGAACGTCAATAAGCATGCATAAATTTTCAGGAAATGAAATTTTTTTTTAACGTCAATGTTGCAAAAAATATTTCATGAAAATATATTTCCCGAATATTTTTTAACCAGTGTGTGCTTATTCCATGAAAAGTGTGAGTGAAAATGGAACATGAATGACTGACGAACTCGGCCAAAGTTGACTATCCGTTTTTCAACTATTAAAAAAAATTTATAATTATATAGAATTTTCATTCACCAAATCCTGCAAATATTGTGTGAAAAATAACATCCTAAAATTTATCGAACCTCCTGATTTCTACTATTTGAACAACAATAAGATAATAAGAAAAATCTGGATGTTAGACTTATAACGCAAAACTCTTGAAGTCAATACAAAAGACAAACATGTCATCCAATTCTAAAAATACTTAGCTGTATAATTTGACCTAAATTGCACCACATGAAATTCATGTTCACAACAATCTTTTGCCAATTTCCTTGCTTTCCAAGTATCACCAATATATTGGCAACATGTCCACTTCAAAAAGATTTCACATATTTGCATGGAGAAATTCTCCAAATCAATTTCCATTCCTTTTGAACCAGGCAACAAAAGATTTGACACATTTTGAGTTAGTTTTTCCGACGACTATGATTTAAATTTATATTCACATCAAGAAACTCTTTGAAAAGGCGAATGCTATTAAGGTACTTTTCTTTTACTTGGATATAATGAAAAAATATTAGCTAAATTATTTATTAATGATGAGATCACGAATATATTATTTTATTAGCGAGATGTGATTATTGGGGGGGGGGGGGGGGGTAAAAATTT